TAATCAAAAGCCTCTTGAAGACTGAAACGGCAACTGCTCATAAACAGCAAAGAGGAAGAGCGTTAACGGATTGTTAGTGAAGATTTGAGGTTTTGGCATTAACTTATTGTGTTGGTGCACATAGCACAGGCCTTCGGTTGAGAAACATCGCGATGTATGCATCATTACCTTGGACGTAGTGATATCCCGAAAGTACAGAATGGTCTGCAACCATCTATCACTGCCAAAACTGGGTTTAAATTGATAAAACCTAGCATAAAATAGTAATAATAGAGTATCTTACAGTCACAGGCCAGCCTTTGTCTTTTGATATTCACGCTGCTCAGTGAATCAGAAGGTACAATGGACGAGCGTGGTCGAGTTCATTGCCGTTGCAGTAATTGACAGGCGCAGACGCAACAAACTTGCAACGGAGTTATAACAAATTGACTGCGGGATGCATTCTGTTGATACAAAAGAAGTTTGGGACAATTTGGCGAACTTAAAAAGGCATCTCCGAGATCTTGTATTGACTTGGGAAATGTCAGCTGTTGTCAGTCCGCAAAGTTATGGGATGTATTTTCAAGTGGTATGGAAAGAAAATGAAAATGTGGGCTTCAGATATTTGCAAAATAATTGTTTATAAAGGACTTAAGTTGGAATCTTTTGTATTCACAGCTGTTGATACTTTTATGGTAGTCCAAACTGATCGGACCTTTCACTTAATAGTCAGTCAGTAGTACCTGTAAAATAAGGAAGTTTTACCTGCCATTTTTACACTGCCTGAAGCTCAAATGAGCAAGTGAAGCTGGCAGCTTCAATCAAACAAATGGAAATCATCCATCACTCAATAGTGGCTAATAGGAAACTCAAGCTTCATGAATAATTAACATGTTGTGGCTTGTAAACAGATATTTTTCTTAATATCAGGGTATTTCCATGTCACTAATGTTTTATATAACTCTCCCATGTGTATTGTGACAGCTCCTGAGTTTCCGTTATCCCTAGGCTTTTTTCTGTTACGACAGACAGCATTAGTAGACCCAAATGTTCAAGTCTGTACTGCTAGCTAAGGTTATAGGGAATTATTCTACCAAGTAGGATGGAATTCGCCCATTGATTTTACTTCTCGCCATCAACGCGTAAGATTTGCAATAGTTAAAACGCATGCTAATTAACACAAACTTCGTTTCTGAAATATAAAAATAGTACCATTGTAATACTCAACGTTCCGAGTGAGGCATAGAGCTTTGAAGTTTCGGTAGATGTCTTTTATTCTTACGAAGTGAGATCTCTAGCTTCTTGTCCAACCTTTTCTCCTTACCAGCCTTACTACCAGCCTAGTGAGGTACAGAACAATATTGAGGTGTGGCACAAAGTGATTGAGGAATCATATGTACGTCCACATAAGAGGACGGAATACAATAGTCACACAAGATCAGCCATACGCCGTGGTAGTTTACATCAAGATATCTGCTAATCATTTGTCAGTAAATACAGACAGAGGTAAGTCATATTGATCGGTAGGTTGCCCACCTGCCAACCGCTATCAATGCACCTTATTTCTAAATCACGTCTATGTCATCCGTCACTCTGGGTCCTGCGCAGGGTATGAAGCCATAAAAATAGCAGATTAAGTGAGCCAGGCTTTGTAGCCAACCTCAGAGATATTAAGGTATAAAGAGAGATAACTGACCAGTGGAACGTTATCTGAGCATCCACATTGTGGCGCGTGAGGTCGAATTACGTGAATTCTACAGCAGTATTATAGTGCAGCAGTGGCTAAGTTCAAGCAGATCCAGTTTTCAAGGTGTCAGGCAGATTGCTGATTGTGTCGCTTGTTATTCGATATTTTTTAATCAGTACATAAGAAGCTTCCACTCATAATCGCCTGTAATTATAATGCAGTGTTTCCGTGTATTTATAATTCTAAGAGATTTAAGGTTGGAAATAACTAAAGGTGGCAGTTACCTGCACTCCTCCAGAGAGAGATGGGAACATTAAGATACTTCACATTATCCCTACTTGGGGCTAAGATTTCCCAGTTTCTCGATTGTCTTGAGTGGACCACTAGCGGAATAAAACGCAAAAATATAGGTAGTTACGTAATCAAGCATGTGGTCTATTGTTATGAAGGTTGAGAACTTACAGTGGGTAGAAGTGAGCTCGAAGGCCTAAACTCCACTAGGGTTCCTGTTGTGCGTCAGTGGCATAGTGGTTAGGATGTTGGCCGACCATGCACATGGTCCGGGGTTCGATCCCCGGCCGACGCACTCCTTTACCTCTCTGAGTCAGAAATAATGCTGATAAAGAGGAAAGGTTGGGCATAAGGCTAGCAACCCCATCCTGTAAAAACAAACTGTGCTACAGAATCTTCAAGCCATTAGCTTGAGGCCCTATGTTCCACTGGGGAATGTGAAGGAAAAAAAGGGTTCCTGTTAGAAGCGCCTCACGAATAAGCTTCGGTGAGACATACATAGTATGTATTGGTCTTCAACCAAACCAAAATAAAAACAAACTGTTCCAAACAGCCTTCACCAAATCCAAGACAAACCAAATGGTTCCAAATAGAATTATATTGGCAACAGAATTTTGAAGATTTGCAATACTATCGTTCTATTAAACGAAATGTATCAGATAAACAATGCATAAACCTACAAATTTGAGGTTTTCTGGCGTTCGGACGCAGAGAACATAATGTTCAACCCATAATTAGCTAGCAATTAGCAAAGTGTCAATTTAGAAGAGAAATGCGCTCAGCTGCTACACACCGCCCTAAGCCACGAGGACTTACACCAGCACACCTAGCAACCCTTTAATCTGGTTATTTATTTTAAGTGCCTATGGCTTACACCTGGAAGCAAAGATACCACCCTGACGAGTCTTATTATAACCGGTCTCCAAGAGACACAACTTCCTCATATCGCTTGCTAATATTCCCTTAGTAGTCTTCACCTCCACTTGTCTAACTAGGTTACCCTTACTCGGCAGTCCCTCTTGCACGGGTCGGAGGGGCCACTGACTCTTTCCATTAAGGGCTGATAGTACGGTAACCAAGTTACTGACCTGCATTTACTACCCATAATCGCGCATTCATGTCGTCGCTTTTACATATATTTTCATATACATATTCATAGAACTAACGTTTCCGAAACACACATGGTATTTAGATGGCTTGTTTCCACTTTTTGGAGAGCTCATCACTTATATAGGTCACATTAATGCCTACGGAGTTGTCACATCGTATTAGTAGCTTGTGAGTGCTAACACATTGAGATCTGTGTCCTACGTAAGTAACACAAGAGGTCTGTTACTTACGATACGTTCACCCACTGTGTTAGGCCATAAGACCTTCATCGGTCAACGGTTGTTCACGAACAAGTCCAGTTAAAACCACCTCAATGGATTGCAGCTGGTGGGTTGAAATGCCGACCTATACCCCCACTCACTTATTTATTTCTCTTTTCGTTCCTACCAAATTGCCCCTCATGTCGCTGAACATATCATTGGGGTGTCTCCTACCAATAAATCTCAGTAAAACCAATATAAAGAAGTCTGTGGAGGGATGCTAGCCTACTTCTAGCTGCACAGCTCGTAATTTAAGATAAGTGATAATACAACCATATTGCTTTCCATTTCTTCTAAATAGTGTCAGTGTTATTGGCCTGAAATATTCGATACCTACAGAAGAGAAAGTGTAGGTGCCCATCTCAACTCTAGCCGTTGGCATGGGTGCCATTAAATGACACTGGCTTAACATTTCCCCTTCTACAACTTATACAATTTGTGACGACCTTCCTCATTGCTTAGTCTCCTAACAGTAGCCAAAACCTTTCCCTTATAGTTCTCAGGATTTTGTGTTACCTGCATTTCCTCCTATGATTTGGTAGTATCTCTGAATGAACTCCGTGACATGATATTTTGAAGACGGTACTACAGGGTTTCACCATTCATTGGGCCATCACGCGTTTCTCAGTTGATCATCTACAGAAAATCAAATCATTTGTTGAGATCGGGTTGGGTTCGCACGGAGGTGCGTTAAATTTTCATGCTCCTGAACTACCAGATGTTATTAACAACTCATGAATATCACTGCTCCATAGAATTAAATTTTAGTTTTGTGAGTACAAGGCTTTGAGAAGCATTGTGAACTAGATTGTGGTCACTTTCCCGTAAAAATGGTGGGGTATCCACAGTCGCTGATATTTGCTACAGGATCGTAATTCCAAAGTGATTCGATTCAAGTATGATGAAGTGAGTATTTATATTACACTTGTCAGATTTTTTCACTAGGCTACTATTTTAGATAACTGTTATGAAAATTAAGTGTTCTGAAGACGGAGGATTTCCGGTCAGCAAGTGCACATGCTCTTAAATTGTGTACAGCTGCATTGTAGTATGTGCCTTTCTGAATTTCGCTTGTTGACTTTATTTTATAGGATGGGCTGTTCATTCATCACAGTGTGAAGTTTTTATGGGATGACTTACAACTTACAGTGCAGCTTTCTAAATAAAACGGACAGATGAATTTTTATACTGGTGATTTGTAGCGCAGGTAGATGATGTTGATTTAGTTGTGTTCTGTGAGCTGGCTGACTTAACTGCAAAGCTTTCGTACTCTCAGGCAACATCTTGAGCGCCGGTTATGGTATAAAATGAACTTATTTGAATTCCCCATGATTGACGTAATTGTATCCCACTGGCGACAGTGGTTGTTAATTTACGGCCCTGTAGGTCATATTTTTACTGATTTGGAATTCGAACTTTCGTGTCATGTGATTTACTCTTTATTAGCTGTCTAAACAGCACCTGGATCACTCACGATGTATTTTTACGGTTATAACCCTACCGATCATCACCAGCTATGTATCACCTATGCCGTGACCTGATAACTTATTGATCCTCATTTTGTAAAGTGAACAAACTTATGTCGTAATTTTCCATAACTTGGTTTGAAATGTGCATATGCGCAAACTGGGTTGCTTGTGAGATGTTTGTTTAAAGCGATCACTTATGATTTACATGTCCTGACCTTGCGGGTGTGGTAAAATAAATATTGTGGATCTATCGCGCTATATTTTATAATGTCTGACAACGGATCTCTAATACAAAAGACTCTGGCAGCGAATGTAAGAACATATTAAAATGTATTCATCTTCAACATTTTACCAGCAAATGTATTCGGTTATACGAATTTAGAAGTGATCTGTCAATGACTTGATTAATACTCTCGTTTTCTATGAATAATAGTGTACAGTTACTTGTTTTATGAGATAGAATGTCTGGTAAAGACAAAGTGTGATTATATTTCACTTTACAGTGTTTTCGAATAATTCATTTAATTCTTTCTAGACTATCGTTTCTTTTACTTTGAGCTTTAAAATGGTATATATGTTGATAAGTTGCTTGAGTTGACTGTGGTTTAGCAATGTTTTGCATTTATTGGCATGAACCGCTGTACATGCCCAAAATTGGATCTTATGTAACATTGGGGTATAAGAGAGTTCACTAGATACGTTTTTCTCAGAAAGAATACTTTCGTCCACATTTGGATATTTATCAGGGTATTTTAGGTGTAAGAATACCGTCAGTACGCATGTATTCGTAATTTAGGCGCTGTGGGAATACATATTAAGTTGGTCTATAATATCTAAAAGTCTAACAGCAGCATCTATCCAAAAGGTAGAGTCGTAAGTAAGTTTGTAATTTCTTTTTGAAGTCTTACATGATTTTTCATTATGCAAAACTAAAAAGAGATGAATATATATATCTAATGATAAAGCATCGATCCTTTTAAGTTACTAAAGTAAATATGGCTCACAATATGAAAAGAATTAGGACACCTCAAGTTGCAACTAGCCTAATTGTCTTCAGTTGCTGTAAGATGAAAGACTGTTTGTGACAAATTCATGCCACGTGGTTACAGCACGTTTTCAAAACTATTTATCGGCTTGGCTTTATGCAAAGCTTGATGTATTTCCAGTCACCAACAGGACTTCTTTGCTCTGTTTCTCCACGAAAGTCAACTTTGCAGTTTTTCCTAATGTAAACTATATTTTCCATTTTATAGAATGTACTTACATATTGCAGTCACGATAACACTTATTGTTTTGTAATGTAGGGCGGAAGAGACGGAAGTATCTTCAGTGGGTTTTGAGAATATTATTTAATAGAATCTGTCAGGTTAAGTAAACTATACGATACATATAATAATATTATTTCATCGTCGTTTAAACCTATTTAGCTGATCACTCAACTCCTAAACTTTGGTATAGGTAAGGTAATTATTTCGCATTGCTGATCTGAGGGCTCGTTCCGACATTTAGAACTATGCAAGTTAGATTTGAAAATCACCTGTCTGAAGGTAGATACCCTTTTGCACGTAGATAGTTCGCACTATGATTTTAAATGTAAATCAGTCATTTGCTTTATGGTGTTGATTATGGTATGCGTTATTTCATCTTTTACACCAGGATTCATTCACATATTTCCCCTAAAACAACACACATTATGAAAACAGTAAACATATCACCAATTAGCTTCAGTGTATTCAATGTGGTTTGAAAATGCATGTACATGTCATATCTTTCGATACCAGTCTCTTTCAGTAATATGTCACATAAGGCTCAGTTCACCTATTCGCAAAACCGCTTGTGGCTAACACCGCATATCCTCTTTCCGGAGATTAAAATCGCTCTATATATACACATATTCAATCTCAAGTAATTAAATTCATAAATAAGTACATTTTTTGGAGTTATTCTAACTCAAAACTTAACCCAAATTATTATACACTTTTAACTTTGTTACTCTTAGGTTCTTAGGCATCCAAATAAAGTGATTGGGGTTTTCACTGTTAACTACGAAAACCGGTAGTTTTGTTAACATTCACCTGAGCAATCGATTACTGACTAGTATGATGTCATAACTTACACTGTGATCACAAGTCGTTGGTTAGTCACCCATAAAATGCCAGTTAGCCAAAGTTTTAAAATATTTCTAATCATCTCAGCGACTGGGGACATGCAAGTGTAATCAGCTGTAGTCTAAACTTATTTGTCTCAGTGAAGCACAACGCTCAACTGTTTACGTTCTAACCTGTTGTTCACTTGTTGGGACTGAAGCACAAATATCACCAGTCTGCATATTTGACATGCAGCAACAGTCAATAAATTATTACTTTTCAAAGACCTTTCTTTGAAAATAACCGAGTCTTAAATACATTAGTAATAGTTTATGATTATATTAGTCCTTTGTAGCAGTATTCGAAATGTTTTTTTGTTTGGTAGATATATCGCTATTCATGAAACGTAGCCCTTAAATCTCCTTCAACGATTTTCAATTCATCTAAATGCTAAGCAGATGTTATTATTTAGCAGCTACATATTTGCCATATTTACACATTAGTGATAGATGATGTGCTTCTTTATAGCCTCATCCACATGTTAAATTACTAAATAACATTTACATTTGTATTCTGTAAGGATTTAATAAAATACTGAAGTCTCATGTGAGATGGTAGCAAATTGAATGATTTTTGATAATATAAAATTAAACCAAATTATAATGATTCTATTGGCAGCACATATATTATTAATTATAAGACTATTAATCGCTTTTGATAAAAATTATAAACTATTGAACTTTATATATCATATGATAGTGATCACTCATTGTTTTAGTAACCAGGTGATAGCTTTCAACCCCCACATTTCAAGTTGTCAGTTAGTAATCTAACACATATAAGAGCTACACATTGAATCAGAACTTGGTTTCTGGAAAGAACGAATGAGAGATACATTGTGAGGTCTACAGATATTTCCCATTTTATCCCATTAGTGAAGTCCCTTAGAAAAAACTATTTAGTTCATATACATATTCGAAACCTTTTAATTGACAGTAATACTCAAATATGACATGCTTATAGTCAGCAGTGAACGGAATTTATCTGCAACATGCTCAGTGTACAACTTTTAGTGGGCATGTTATGTTTCCGTTACTGGAAATTATTCCTCTTAATTTCCTACACTTCGACAGCTATGTATATCCCTCTATATTCTTGTAATTGATACACATTTCTAGATTATTTGCTACCAGCCCATTTACTGGTATTCTACACTGTTCCCTATCACCTGTTTAAAGTATCACTGACATTTCAGTATATAGCTTTTATTGTCATTTATAATATCAAACTGAAAATAAGAGGCTAGAATTTTATGAAAATATTGCTTAAAAATAAATGAAAGTCAAAACTGCACAATTAGAAAATTTACATAGTAGTACAATCACAAATGTCTACATAAGGCTTTGAAACTCACTTATTTTATTTTCTAACACTCAATATAATAACACTTCATATACTATGACTAAGCGTGAAGACGAAATGACCTTGGACCTCTATTTATTTTTCATCAAATTATAAAATATAGTCTGAGAAGTTGTAAAATCAAATACGGAAAACTTGTAACGTATTGTTTTGGACATGGATTTACTTATTCTTTAATCAGAGTGAAATTATACAGAGAGGCTTATTAGCCACTTGTTAACTGCTAGAAAAGGTATATTCCGAGGCATTTGAAAGAGTATCCAAGCTGTTTTTTTGGCTGGTTTTTCAAGGTTTTAGTTGTAAAACTAGAAAGTGTTATTAACATTTCCATTAGTTATCCCCTTCTTAAAAGATGTCAAGCCTTCTACTATAAATACTTTTCCAAAGGGATGTGACATTTTTAGAGCTTTCGTCTGATATGTAGCTCTAGCTCTGAGTGATGAATGGTGAAAATTTTACATTCTTCGAGCAACTTTAACTGAAACTGGGTTCCATGCCGCTAGATAGCTGACTACGAAGCCGACATTTGCTAACGAGCGACTACTGGATACGTGATCCAGTACAATATACTATAATAGAAAGATGACTAGTTCAGCGGTTGTATAAAACATCAAATATTTTCTTATTAAAATTTTGCCTGACTTAAGTGTAATATTCAGGTTAAGTCTCCGCTAAGATATTTCAATATTCATGTGTTTTATTTCTGTAATAAACAGGTTTAAATCCGTAGGAAATTGTGAAATTTAAAGTCAACTGTATTGCAATCTGTTCATTGAGTATTCGTGATTAAATTAGAGGATTACCAATAGACAACTTTATCTCTAACGAACTTGTGATAAATGGAACATTAAAGGACTCAAATGAAACTTAATTCTAAGTAACGTCTAATTATTCAAGTGAAAACCAGTTAAGTTGGTAAGCTTTTCAAAGAGAGAACCTCGTCTATTAGCATGTTAAACAGTATAGATTCACCTCCCAGATGTAGTAATTCTTTTATGAATGCATTTTCTTGATGTTTTCGTGTTTCACACACAAATTTAATATTGATGGATACTTTTTAGATCATCAGAACCTGACATGATCAATCTATAGACTCATGAAGTGTATGTGTGTGTAGAACGTAATAACAAAATTCAGCAAATTATTACGCATGTACTGATTTATGCAAGTAATTAAGACAAAAGCGAGTGAAAAATACATCCACTTGAGTACTTTATTAATCACTTTTCTGTGTCATTTATGTAATTTCATTTTGCAATCACAAATAATGAAGGATAGACAAATGCACAGTCTTTCAATAAAGTTTTTATTTTCACTACAAAATGAAAATGTAAAAAATTAAATCATAATAGAAAAATAAAGTAACTATAATTCGGCTCTTGGTTATTTCCATTCGTGTGTACTTAAATATGGAACAAAGTAGAGTATACAACCAAGAATTTGTTTCGTATATTTTTTTGTTGATAAAAGATAGTAAAGTACTTGAAAAAAAGTGACAGAACATTGTTCAACACTATGAGTCAAGCGCAGATCCAATGCAATTTTTTCGTAAGTGTCTGCCAAGAAAAATAACTTGGAACAGCGTTAGGAAAAGTCAGTGTTGATGAAGTGCGAACAGTCACATCTAAGCCTATATTCAAAACTGTAAAGCTAAACAGTCATATTCACCAATTGAAAGGAAGAATATTATAAAATAAATTATTGTCTGATTTTTATGGTAAATAAATTGAAATTTAAAAACTTTATAGCATCATTGTATAATTAGCAGTTATTCAATGACAGTCAAGGTTGTGTTAAGTTTTAAGTGGTGCTTCTACTAAGTTCACAGGTAACCTTATTGGTATCACTGTCTAGTTAACTGTAAGACATTCCCCTTCATTTCTAATCTGAAATAAAGTAAGCTGCTTTCCAGTTGCTAAGCTAAACATTACAGATAAGAGTTGACATACATTAGTAAGTGATTAAGGTCTTCAGTATTTCTACCTCCATTTATAAGTAGAGGATATGTTGCCTTAGTTTCTAAACTGAACTTATTTTGGTTTAAGGAATGCTGATTACAGATGGAACACAAACTTGACCAGTGATAGGATTTGATCCTTTTAAATATGATCACTGTGTCATAGCTCATTAGATAAAAGCTAACCTGTCATTCTGAAAGGACAATACCGTTTAAAATCTTTGCAAATAGCAAGGTTAGAAAACAGATGAAGTCGCAGTCCTCGAAGCTGACTCTAGGCCTAATTATCAAGTACTGGCTTTAGTGTTCCCGTTGGTAGACTCTTTTGATCAGAGTCCTTTAGTTTTAAATTTTTGTAAGCTCCGCAAAATGTAGATAGTTTGTTTGACGATACGTCTTTAGAAAACCATAAATATGTCATATATATATGCTGTTAAACAAATTCTGAAGCTAAGTGTCAGTACCCTCAGTTTGATAATTAAAGATTGTGAATGATTTCTAGATTGTCCTAAGTTTATCGATCATAATATGTGGATTAGCTTAATTATTTTACGTTAGCTGCCTTTTGGTCATATAAGTTTTATAACAACCAAAAACGTAAATTACATTTGGCTAGGTTTTGAAAACTGTTATATTCCAGCAAACAGGTTTTATGTCATACATTTGCAATTTAACCGTCACACGACTATATTTCTCGTTTTTCTGACGTTGGCATTCACTTTATTTACTCTGTTTCACTTAGCTGAGACTTCGAGGAATAAAATTCAATGATAAAACTATCATTTCCTCATCTGTTGTGTAAGACACTTTTTTCAAGTACTGTGAAGGAAATTAGAATTCCGTGTTTTTCAGGATTAATGTTATTAACAAATGTACAGCAGTTCAAATATTGTCCCCTTTTATTGCGAACTGTACTTTCCTAGTTTAATAAATCCGATTTAAACCTATTAACCCACCTTCACCTACACATATATATGCATATACTTGTCTACGTAAACTTCAAGCCATTGTGCTTAGTTGTCCGCCTTTAAAATGAATGTAAAGCGCTCAAAAGATTATGAATTACTAAGACTTGTCAACTTATTCAGTAAAACTCACATATCTTAATAAAATGTAGTATGATGAGTTCAGATATGAGCTTGATATTTTGTGCTGAACGGAATATATTGGTTTTCTTTTAAATTTCCCTAAGATTCTTAAAGCATTCCAATATGTTGTTGGTATCCTTGAAGAATAACAAATAAAGTCAACGTTTCAAATTGATTGAGTGGATTGTAGCCTACTAATGATTTATTTTCCTAAGGCTTTCAAGTTCACTTTTCTTTGTGTATAACAGCTGTTGCTTCACAATTTAAAAAGACACTTGCCAATAATCTGTAATGATTTCAGATTTGAAATTCTCCTGCTGACTTTTATTTAGCTACTAGACTCATTATAATTGCTTCATCTTTCAAGAACAAGAGCTTCAATTTACAGGAGTTTTTCCTATGTCATTTATTCCTCATATTTCGCTCATGAAACACCTTATTGTAGTCATTTAAGATATCTGTTAATGTTTAATAAAAAGAGGAATTAGTAACGCATTCATGTAATATGACCTTCCTGGACTACATTCCTCATTTTTGATGTTATGTTATTTCTAAAATGAGTAGTGCCATAATGAACCACAATTAGAATCTAGTCTCTAGGATGTGTTCACTATGCATTATCCAAACTACTGGTTGATCTGCCACAAGCATCTGATAAACCGTGTTCAGAATTTGAGGAGAAATCACGTCCTATGCCAACAAGTATGAAGAAGCAAGATTTCAGTATCTATGAGATCTTTCAATCCGATATTTTCAAACAGCTACTTAGTGTAAATCAAAATGCGCTAAAATGCAGTCTAGATTGATGATCGCATTGCATAGCTGGCTGATGAAGTTTTTTTATTATTTTGATTTACAGCTTGATTCCACACCGCATTTTCAGTACAAGTGTGGAATTTTCAGCATGGATATCGGTAGCCCAAATTCAGGCCGACCATAGATATCGGGTGTGCGCCGGTAGGGGATCGAACCCCGGACCATATGCATGGTTGGTGAGAGTCCTAACCACTGTGCCACCGACGCACAAGTTTGGCTAGGTGTGAGGAGGTGTCACAATGATATTGCCTACTCTTTATTTATTATTGGATGTACCACTAGTAATTACTATTTTAACATTTATTTTGCAGCACTTATCGAATGATCACCAAAATATACAATATTTAGAAGATGGAACAGTCGAAGTTATTGACACCTTATCAAAAGAGGAATATTACAAGAGTTTACGTCGTCGTGGCACTGAAAGCAGTAGCCAGAATACAAAACATTATGGATTATCTAGTCAGCTGAGTTTGGAAACGTCTCATGGAGGCACACTGCGTTCGGGATTCGGTAAACGTAAACGTACGCTTCGTGATTTCAAACCATCTGGAAAAGAAGAGTTGTGTTATGTTCTCATGCTAGAAGGAGTGGAGAAAACGTACACTATTGATGTAAGTTTTTTCAAAATTCTGAGTTCTATTGCCTGGTTCTTCCTTGAATTCATTTAGTTTCTTCTCATATTAATGTACTGGTATAACACGAAGTCTTTTTTAAATACTGCGTACTGGCAGACTTTACAAATTAACAGACGAAATCCAAAGGCAGTCATATTTGCTTAGACAGTTTAACCTCGAAAGCGGTAATTGCTAAAGGTTATTGTAATGTATTTCAAGCGCCCTAGGACAAATTATCTACCAACTTGCTGTTTCTGAAGAACATTATGTGTTTTACTATCATATGTCCTTAAGGCGTCTGTCTAACTTGAAATTGATTTCAAGGCAGGTTTCATAGCAAACCTACAAAAAGAGTTTGAAAACCGAACAGCAGTTGTCTTATTTTGAAGCCCTTTAATTTTTCTCACCCACAAACTTCAGGCTACGCGACCAGCATGTTGTTATCCAGCCAGTGAACTCAAATACGATGGTCTATGAATTCTAACTTCTAGAAATCAGAAACATAGTGCTACATCCATAGGATGGCATCACTGAGTTGTCATCCTTATATTCGGCAATGTTGGTCCAAGCACTTTCTGCTTGCCATCAGAAATCCTGAAAATTCATCTTGAATGTGATCACTAATAAGCAGTGAGTTAGTTCCGATATTACAGTCAGTGATAAAGTAAGAACTTTATTTAATATTACTAGCAGAGGTTTTCCCCATTCACACTCTGATAGGACCCAGTAACTCATAATTCGACTCTAAACACTAGTGTGTACCTGATCAACATCAATGCGCCACACTTGTGTGATTAGTGTGAGCCTGATGATATTGCGGGGTTGTGCATTCTTGCAGCTATATGCTGTTCTTTATCTTCAAATGTTTCTCATCGAAGTGGTTAAGCTTTAAAATAAGAGAATAAAAAGTGACGACTAATAATTATATTTACTGTATACTACAGTATATACCATTCTATACAACAATAAAATCTTAGAAAACCTGATTTACCATTACAGAACTAAGAAGTAGCTTGATCCTATCGTGTAACTCCAGGAAAATATTTAGAAATTGCCTTCACTTTAAGAAGTTATCAATATTTCCAAAATTCTTCTTAACACCATGACTATCAAATGTTTTCCCAACTGGATGTCATTAGATTTATAACTCTGAGATATTCATAAATAATTATAAGCTTCGAGTGCAAATAATCTTTTCCTTTCTTTTCTTAATAAACAAGAGGAAATGATAAGTGCTTTCGGCAAACGCTGACTATCGAATAGTATATCAGACACAATTCGCAGTAAATTATTTACTGTCAGGTTAAAGTTGGCTTTTATTCTAACATAAAATATTAGAATATAGATGAAATTTACAATAATTTGTGATGCATAAATCATGTATGAATGGAATTTTCTCAAATACATATGTAGACTTCTAGCATTTAAACGTCTAAAGAAGAGGATACACATAAGAAAGGAATTTCTTCAGTTTTCATAATATTTCTTCTTCTTTTTAATGACTGCCATATAATCTTAGGTAGTTTTAATTATTTTTCTGTCTAAACAGTCTATAAGGAAACAATTTATTACTATTTTAATCTGAAGAAAATGATCTTATAGTTATTAGCCTTCATGGACTGAGGAGAATAATATAACATGAGTTTCATTCACTTCGTGAGTCACCTACTTATTGTCTTCTGCGACCACTCAACAGTGAACATTTATGAGTTAATTTAGGTCGGAGCCATGACCATTAGAGATGGCACAGAGATAGAATGATACGCGGAAGTTCGTAAGGTTCGTGATATAAGGAGGCGGTTTGTTACTTTAGTCTTACTTTGTCCTTCTGTAGTCAATTTGCTGGTCTGGGGTAAACAAAAACAGGAAATCATTTGACTTTTCTAAATAATTAAACCAGATAACTGAGGTTAAATGCATTATTTAACTGTATAAATTACATTATTCACTATGAACACATGAAATTCGACATTTGAATAGTTCACTGTTGCTTATTTACATTGGATTTAAAGTCTCGTATTCCACCAAATTACTCAAGTTCGCCTGTAATAGTCTTAACATTGGCTTTGCAAACTGGTAATACAATCAAACTTTATCCTTTAAATTACTTATGAGGCTATTGCTTTACTTGAATGAATGTAATCTAGGTTTATGTTATTAAATTTTACCGCCAAGATGAATGATACACAAATCCATATTTAAAAGTCATCAAGAAAAGTAATACAAGTTACTCAGTTATGAGACTATTAACTACTTAGTCAGGTGAAAATGACAAATATAGAATCTTCGCATCATGGAGACACTGTGCGTTAAAATAGTTTTGAAAAGTGCATACATTCTGTTTCGGACTCTAGTGATAGCAAAAGTCACTGGTTGTGTATAAAACACTAGTGGTACAGTTAAAAAGAGGCTTTTACAAACCGTTTAGGTGTACCTGGTGTTCATATGGCTTTAGTACATGAATGTATGGTCAATTACCACTTAACTAATAACCATTTATTCTACAGTTTATTATCATGTCACATGCTAACAAAAAGTTTTAATTTCTTAATGAGTATAGATAAATACTGGTATATTCTGTCAGTTAGTTTTTTATGGCGGTGTTAGATAACAGACTGGCACTCGTATCAAAGGAGACAGTAACTAAAGTCATGACCAAAGCCCGGACCATCATAACCCTGAAAAATATATACACAATGTGATGATAGCAATAAGGCTGAAATTTTTATACGTCGTACACTGAAAAACTGTCTACTTCCCCACACATCTGTTGTTTATATGACAACAGATAAAAGCCACTTAAGACAGGGAAAGCTATAGATGATTGTTCCACTTTTTGTTTGGGATTATTCTAAATGCTTTCGTTCTATATATTCTTCACTTATTACAAACAAGAAAACGTACAAATATCTTTCAGTGTTTCAAAAAAATTACTGCTTGACAAATTTTCCTTCAGTCACCTCTTTCTCATTAAAATACGACTTGATGTTTTATTGATCAGTGCTGATTACTGATCAGTTGGGTGGGTCAACATAAACTAATCAAAAATACCTTTGCATTGTCCTAAAATCATTTCATGTGATTGTTGTTCCGGCTTTTAAATTTGTTGTTGTTCTGTTTTCTGCCTCTCTTTCTCCTTTGCTTCTGAGTATGACTTTTTATCAATGTGACTTACAGCACTGTCATCATTCTGTTGTGAATCCCCTATCTGTGGAACAGTAATAATACGTAAGTTTGGCACCAAAGTGAATCTCAGTAGTGGTGAGTCAGTTTACGATGTAATTAAAAGTTTGTTGAACAGACCTTTATTAATATTTAGGGTCCAAAAGGAGGACATACTTACAGGCTTGACAAACTAGATGCTGCGAATAAAAAATGTTGGCATCAGATAAAAAAAAACCTTAATAAATTTCTTTGTCTCAAGTCACGTGGCCATGCAAAAATGAACTTCCTACATTCACTAAAAATAAATGAAATGCTTTAGCGTTACTCTGAACTCACGCCTGAATTAATTACAGAAAGTGAACTTGATGAGTTCCACAAGTTTTACCACAGTGACAACATTTGAAAACAAAGCATGAATCAGAAAATTTGTTTCATTTCACACTGAACTTACGTGAAGACATATTTGCACAGAATATACAAATATATAAATGGTGAATGGTATTGATCTTAGGTATGCTAGTGAAATACAACAAACTAATTAGTACGACTGTATATTATAACCCTATGAAGCATCTGAATTGTATGTCAATCTAATTGACTCACTGCCATTCAAAATACTTAATGTTACTTAACTGAGACTGGATTGAATTAATGATGCCTTTTTAACGCGTAAACTAATGTCTGGGATAGAAAATTGATTTTCACTGTCTAGAGAAAAATAAATTTCATGAGGTGTTAAAGGCCACTGTGACTGAGTCTATGCCTTTATAGTATCACTTTATACAGTCTGGAAGGTATGTTGTCTGATGAAATTAAAACTGCTCACTTCACAGGCTAAGTGACTGCTGAAATGAATACAGAACATATTCATGCTCAACAAATTCAGGTGAAATGTTACGTTAACTTCAGTCAAGCTATCATAAATTTGAGCCAGTAATATTTAAAAAAGAATTATTTCACAATGATTGCTTATATATATTTTATTATTCAGTTTGTTTGCAGCTAATAAAACCTTATGAAATAAAACCAGTTCACCTTATTCTGTAGAATTTATTCTGATTGTGGCAAAAACTAATTCTGATTTAAATTATGGCATTTCCTGAGTTTAGTTAGTGTATCAAAGACACCTTTCAGACTGCAAACATTTTAAGAAGTTATTTACTATGCTACAGAATTGGAATTCATCGATGAAAATTTCAGTCTCTGATCAGAATTCTCTGTGAAGCGAATCTCTCAACATTAGATTAAAAAAGTTATAATTAATCATCCAGTGTTGATTTACATGGATTTGGATGGTTACAGGTTTGATCACGAGGTAACATTAGTTACAGAACCACTGAAAAATCTGAAAGTACTGATCATCAGCCTTACTTTATCTTGGATATTGGTATTTAAGTTTTATGTAACTTCGTGTACGAGCAAAGTTGCCAACTTGCTGAGATTAATAAGGAAAATTTTGAATAACAATTTTTGTATAGTAAGTTGTTTCGACATTTCACCTTTCATTTATCTATAAAAATTATATATATAAATGAATTATATTTCTCCATGTTCTGGCTATGTAGATTAAATATTCTTTGAGTTATCTATATTTCAGCTTTGTAATCTACTACGAGAATGAATCGCCTACGAACTACGTCTAATTAGTTAGGAACAGAATAGGTCGTCACATTGTGTTTAATAGCAAAATAACATCCTGTTCGTTATGTAACCAATTCGTCTCAATCAACCCAGGATGACGCATGACCGGAACACTAGAAGAAGGAAGACTTTTATAAACAGCTACAAATATTAATGGAAAACATGCCTAATGGTGACAAAAGATCCTTTTG